ATTTTAGCTCTAAGCTCTGACTTCTCGGCTCTCTCTTTTACATTGTTTCTGTGTTTCTTATTTAATAAGACGGTTGGTTACATCTACAGTTTAGGCCAGTCAGAAGTGCACATACATGTGAATAAGGTTACATTCACATACACCACTCACATATACATACCAAACATAAACCTACTCAATTCACATATGAATGCCAAAACATGAACATATACCACTCACGTACACATGCTGAAACATGCACATACACCACTCATGTACACATGCCACAACCCCTCCTTTTTATATTCAAAGGTTTTGGCTTCATCTTAATTGAGTGTCTAGACTAGAAAGTGTGAAACAGATTGGGTGTCATTTTACAGCCTGCTGGAGTTTCCTCCTAATATTTACATTGATTTGTTGTCAAAATGCCTTCTAAATATTTTTATTTAATCCTATAAAATAGTGCTTCTTTCAGCCTTGTTCAGAGAATTGTCTATTTGCAGTGGGTAACTATGAATGAAGAAAAAGTGTAGAGAATAATCGGATGTCAATTGTTCAGCCCTAAACATTACATTTTTTTATGCCCTCAAAGGCTCAGTGAGTATGGAAAAGGGGGTGGAAAGAATCTAAGAGCTGGAGGATAGGAAGAAGTGCTATGAAACATTATCTTTCAGACATGGTATAGCTGTTTCATTAACGAACCCACACCAGTTATGGTTACCTGAAAAAGACCTATACAAATGGGGACCCTCAACCCTCCATCATACAGAGGAGAGGGCCCCGAGGCTCCATCCCTGCCAAATGACTATGGGTAGCTAATAATTACTGGAGGGTATTATCAGTTTCTTCACTTATGAACAGTTCATGCTCAAGTAAATAACTCCACATTTATACTTATTAATATAAACAAACATAATTAAACACAGTGGTTAAAATAAATATAGAGCAAAAAAGCAAGCTAGATGTGAAAATAGGAGGGGGACTTTGGAAGAGGAATTCAGGAGGTGTAAGAGGGTTAGTAAGAGAGTGATGGGGGTAGAAATGAACAAAACATTACATACAGTTTTTTCTAGACAGGGTTTCTCTGTGTTGTGCCTGACCTGGATTTCACTCTGTAGATCAGACTGGCCTTGAACTCACAGAGATCTGCCTGGCTCTGCCTCCCGGTGCTGGGATTAAAGGCATGTGCCACCAACCCCCAGCAGAATTTAGAATCCATGAACACAGATACTTGGCCATTTCCAGAAAAACCATATGTATTATTAAAAAGAAGAATGTTCTGATTTCCATATTGGTCATAGAATATTTTCTAGAATCACTGTGACTTCTTAGGTCTAGACCAATTAGTGTACACCACAGTCCTCTGGAAAAGACAGGCATTGGATGATGACTGAACTCAATGTCTTATGTTATTGAAACCAGAGAAGAAACAGCAATGAACTTTAGAGGAGAACAGCTCAAAGGACCTGACTTGTTATCTTAGTTTCTGAAATGTAAACTGACCTTCTTAAAAAGTAATGCTTTTTAAAATCACTTTTGTAACTGTTTTTGACCACACACACACACACACACACACACACACACACACACACCTAGTAGCAAGCACAAGAGTGTAACACTTGCCTTACATGAGAAACAGATTCAACAGACACTATGTGAAACAATATTTATTAAGAATGATAATTTATAATTTGTCAATTTCTAAATGAACAGCAGGTGTAGATCATACAGCAACAGCCATATAAATGTTTATGTTTCTAAAGCAATATTCATATTTATTTGTGGTTAAAGAACTTACAGTTTGAATAATGAAAATCTGGACTTCTAAAGCTGCTTATGGATTTGGGGCTTTAAATTTTGCATTCTGGAAGAATCTGGCAATGTGAAAGTAATGTTGACCCTCTAATAATAATCTATGTTTTCTTTTTCCAGACTCTGCTGTCATACTTTATGTCCACCAGGCTTCGGGAAATCAGGCTCATCATCCTAATAACTTTGGCAACATACTGTTTTTGAATATATTCCCATTTCTAAAATGTTTTCATAGTATAAGATAGATGAGAAATAAAGACCTACCTGATAAAAAGTTCTCAGCTTTTCTCAAACTGAGACTGTGTCCCCAAAAGTTTGTCAAAATGCGTGTAAAATAATAGTTACCACTATTACCAGTTTGCTTTATATTTGGTGATTCCCAGAGTTTCAGATGTGATTACAGTTTTTTTTGTTTGTTTGTTTGTTTGTTTCAGGGTATCTGATCACTGACTGTAGGTTTTCAAATATTCAACATTTTTCTTGACTCTGAAACATTGAGCTACATTCACTGTGATGAAAGCATTTTTACTGTCTTTCCACTTAATATAATAGTAATTGAATTAATAACACAGTATATTTTAGAAGAAATGGTTTAAAAATGATTGGAAAGACTGAAGAAAAGATGTGGTGGAAAATACTTGCACTACTATTTATTCCGGTACTCTTGTAAATTTATTTGGTGTATTACTTTACTTAATGTGCTATTTTTATGGTGCTTGGATCCTCCTATATATCCTCATATAGGATCCTCATATATGCTAGCCGAGTACTTTAAGATTGAGCTATGCTCCTAGTTTTCTTCTTTCTTTTTTATTATTAAAATTTTTTCTATTAATTTTACATACTAATGACAAATCCCCCTTCCTTCCTCCCTCCCAGCCTCTCCCCCGCCAACCTCCCCTGTGCCATTCCTACCTCCTTCAAGGCAAGGCCTCCCATGGGAAGTCAGCAGAGCCTGGTACATTCAGTTGAGGCAGGTCCAAGCCCCTTCCCCTACACCAAGGCTGTGTAAGATGTCCCACCTTAGGCACTAGGCTCCAAAAAGCCTGTTCATGCACCAGGGATAAATCCTGATCTCACTGCTAGGTTCCCCTTAAGCAGGTCAAGCTACACAACTGTCTCACCTATGAAAAGGGCCTAGACCAGTCCCATGGAGGCTCCACAGCTGTTGGTCTACAGTTCATGAAGACATCAAGGGGACAGGGAGAAACTAGGTGCTAGGGAAGTTCACAGGAATCCACAAGGATGACCCCACCTTAGACTACTAACAATAGTGGAGAGTGTGCCTGAACTGGCTTACCCCAGTAATCAGACTGGTGAATACCCCAACTGTCATCATAGATCCTGCATCCAGTAACTGATGAAAACAGATGTAGAGATCCACAGCCAAGCACCAGGCTGAGCTCCAGGAGTCCAGTTGAAGAGAGAGAAGAGGAATTTTATGAACAATGGGAATCAAGATCATGATGGGGAAATGTACAGAGATAACCAACCCAAACTAGTGGGAGCTCCTAGTTTTTGAGATAAGGAAATAGTGAAATGCTGCTCATGAGTTTTACAGTTAGAAGAGGGAGATCTGAGAATGAAACGTGAGCAGTCTATCTCCAGGACTCAAATATTTGGGGCTTCCACATCATTCTTCTCTTTTAGCTAAATACATATACTGTATCTTAACATACCTTGAATTTAGATATAAGAATGGGTATATCATTTAATACTGGTTATTTTTAAATGATTAACATTATCATAATTATGTATTTTGTGGTTTCCACATATTGTACATGTGCTGATAAATTTTTAAGAACTTTTGATGCTGCCATATAAATCAAATCAAGGTAAACCAGCTCCAACCATCTAACCTATTATATATTTATTACTTTGTCAAGCTCTTCATATTCTCATATATTATAAATACCCCTATGCCTATTTTCTATGAATGTTCCATTAAAATTACAAAGCTTGTTTACCCTATTTTGTCCCTAAGAATTTGCTCATATCCCCATTGAAGGGCTTATATAATTTGCTAACTAAATTCTCACTTCTACAAAAATAATAACCACGTTTTCTGCTTTCTTTTGCTTTAGAATATTTTGAAATATTTTATATCTGGAATATATTTTGAGTCATAGCATATATTTCTTTGAATGTAATATTAAGGATGCTATGACTTCATCAGGGATAGGAATTTCCTGGGAAGTGGATCACATGAAACATGCCAATGGCAGGACTGCCATGGAAGTGAGTGGGTGACAGTGACATTGGAGGTGTCAATGGAGGATGAGTTAGAAGCAAAGAAGAGTCTATAAAATTTGTGAGGAAGTCAAATATAAAAAATAAAATAACCTACTACCAAATGAGTTTATCTAAAAATAGACAAATCCATGAAGGATCCTAATAAGTGTCTGAGTTTTGGGGGGAGGGGTAGAACAATTGGGATCATGGGTTCACTCTAGTAGAACTTTTCCTTTGTCATATTTTATTATTTATTTCTATTATTAGAGAGAATGTCAAACATGGATCCTGAAATTTTGAGGAGTCTGTCAGTGCAGGTAAAATTTTTTTCAAATTTTGTCAACTTAATGAAGCCAGTGGCAACAAATCAGAAGAAAAAGTGATCAATTCAATGAAAAGAAAAAGAATCAGGCTTGCAATTTACACCAATACCATTACATAAATGGTGGGAAAAGGGAGATGTTTTGAAATTCTTCCACAGTGGTCTTCACGTTATTAGATGACTGATGGCAATCAGAGGAAACAAATGGTTGAAAGGAGATGTCCACAATGTGTGTGTGTGTGTGTGTGTGTGTGTGTGTGTGTGTGTGTGTGTGTGTGTGTGTGTATTATCTATTGTTGACTCTGCAGGCCTGAATTAGAGACTGAGGTGGGGCTGTATAGAATCAGAGACTAGAGAAAACAGAAAACAAGTTCTTTAAGGTTAGGATCAGGAAAAAATGAGGTTTTCCTGATCTCCATGCAGTGAAATCCAATTATTAATGGGTCTAGTTGCAGTATTGAGCCCATTAAACCAATGCTTAAATATCTCCATGTGTACACTGATTGTTGACATTTAGTTTGATATCTATAAGGAATGTGTAATCTGATAAATGTATTTTTGATTCAATATCAGCAAATCTAGATTTGCATGTGAGTCAAAATAGATTCCAAGGGAATACATTGAACATAACCATTTTAAATAACCAAAACTATTGTACATTTAAATTGAATCCTTTTATTTTAAATATTCACGTTACAGGAATTCATTAGGCCCAAATAGAACATCATTATTTACACATCTAATAACTCCAGTGTCAAATCAGTGAGGTATTTACATTGAATATAGTAAATGTCACATAAGGAAGAGACATCTTACATACAGGCTCAAATTCTTTACACATTTACTTCTGCATTGGAATCTTTGTGCAGGTTGTAAAAACCATTAATTGCTAAACAAAATTTCACAAAATTGTAGCAGTCACATCATATAGCTATAAGCTTAAAAGGCATCAATGAACAGGAGCATACATTGTAATGGCATATTTTTAAGGGAAGGAAATTTCAAATGGCAATTCCAGTTTAATTTATGGAAAGTACAATTTCTCCAAATAGTGGAAAGTACAGATTTCCTATGACATCTTGCCTTTCATGGCTTATTAAAATATTTGCTTAGCTGCCACAAAGTGTTGTTACTTACAGGTAAACTCAATGAAGGGATGCATGCAGTATCAAACTAGAAGACCAGATCAGAGGTTTGCTGACTGTTACACACCTGCAGTGTAATGAATGGCATAGTTATTCTTTCCCACAACTGCAATATCATGAATGAATGGTGCAATGCAGTCATCCTTTCTGTGGCAGACTGGACTGCTCACACTTATGATATCATGACTGTTGTAGTCATCCTCTCTGAGGCTGGCTGCTCATTATGTGAATCAATGCTTTTCTTTTGGACTACAGCAGGACTCAGCTTCAGGATTTTGACTTGGAATAGTAACTAGAGTCAATTTTCTTAGCATTACACTACCTTCATTGTTGCTGATAAAATTAGACCTCAAAGAAGCAATATTCTGTAGATAAACAAATGAACAGAAAGCTAGGATTTCCATTGCTTTGATAACATAACAGTGAAATCACCTTTCAACATTATAAATGTTTATACTGGTGATTTGAATTACTGAAAGCTATGTTCTACCCATTATGTGTTATGATAAATGACTTCTCATATGGAGAGGGAGAGATTGGTCTACACATAGTACCTGCTTGAATTTAGGCCTTTCAAAAACACAAGTATATTCTGAAACAAATCAGACCAAATAAACAAAATGCGTGGACACATCCTTCCCAGAATGGGATCAGTTTTAATTTTAAAGATCATTTTGAATTATCAGCATGTAAAGGCATGACTCTATTGCCAAAATTCATACTCTTACATTTTGCAAATTACTAAGAAACAAAAGTTTTGGTCTACCATTCCCCCATCTCTGCTGTACCAATTGGCTGTGGTCTGGATAGTCTGTTATTGCTCAAGTTAGTGTAATGCAGGTCTGACTTAATGCTTCTCCCTCTTGGCAGTAGTACTGATTTGGCAGTGTTTCAAAAATGATAAGCCTTTCTTGATTATACAAAAAGCTGCCAGAATATTGTATTCATATAATGGAACTTGTAAAAATGACTTTTTCACATCTTCATGCTCTGACACATTAAGTTGCTATGCAGTCAGTGGTAAGATTTACCAAGAAATTGTTTTATTTATTGTAGCTAATTGCCAACAACTCCAAGAAAAAGTTTTCTGGGAAAATTTACAACACTATAATGCAAATTAGAAGAAAAACTAAAACAGAACAGTATTGCACCTTGTCTCAGGGGCTCATCAGCACTAAGACTCACATATCACTTCATAAATACTGAAAGAGGACTCTTGAAAGGATGTAAATCATGCACAGATTAAGACAAAGCTCTTGTGGAAGATGGCAGTGGAAAAACGCACCCTCAAACCTGCATGATTCATTACAGCATGCATATTTTCACTTACAAACACAACCTTAATATTATCATATAATATTTAACATCTTATTTCAAACATGCATTGGCTACTAAAATAAGATTTTAAAGAAAAACTGATGTTTGATATAAAATAATCATGTTTTCTCAGGTGTGAAAAAATACTCTACAAAAAAATAAGTAGAAAAGTGATTTCTGATCAATGTGTGATTTTATCTATAAAACCCTAGATGACTAATTAGTGTGCTTACAACAACCCTGTTGGATCTGCATCATAACACACCCAGGGCAAGTTAATAGCATTAATCAACTGGCACAATGCAATGTAATTCTTATAAGAAATAACATGAACTTATGAACTGTACATTTGGCATTAGATATCAGAGTATTTTAAATTTGCTTGAACATGACAATATCATAGTGCAAATTACATTACAATAATAAAACATACAATTGCTTTCAAAGTAGTTTATTCATTACTGATTCTTAAAATTTACATATTGGAAGAATTGGCACATTTTGTTTTAGTGTGATTGCTTTGCCCTCCATTCCTTGAGTATAAGTCCCTTTATGAAAATTACGTGAACTACTCAAGTGTTGGCTATGGTCTATATGGCAACATTGAACAGAATCAAGGTGATAGGCACATTCTGTGTTCTTCCTTTGTGGATCGTCACTATAGCTTTCTTCTTTAGCAGCACTTTATTCCAAGCTTTATATGGAAGGGTCCAACCCCTTACCAGTCATAGAACATAGCCACCTGGCAAAAAGCATGGAGGAAAAGTCTAGAGTATATGATAGCCCATATTTCTGATCAATTTCCATATTTATGAGTTTCTTAGGTGAATCTAATGACAGTCTGTCACATTTGGATAACAGAAGAGAAATCTGTGGCTCAGAAATGCTAGCAAATTACACCATAGGTGCTAAAAGCTAAAATGGACTTGATCATGAATTTACTTCACATTTTCTTGTTTCTTCTTGATGATTTCTTCTTTCTGCATGATGTAAACCTGGGTCTGAATTTAGACTTGTTATCCCTTTATCTTGTTTTTTAAAAGCACTTCTTCATCCCATGCTGGTACAGACAGGGAATAAACCACATTACTACTGAAAAGATAACTGAATTTTAAAAGTATGGTCAGTGTATTTATAAAAGGGGGTATGTTGCCTTTTACCTCCCCCCATACCTCCTTTGATTCTTAGGAACTCTATAAAACATTTTTTTTATATTGTCACACTCTATTATCCACATGATTTTAAGACACAGAAAAAGAAAAGGAAGAAAAACATAATATTGTCCCTTGATTAATTTTTTTAAAACAATGCATTAGAATCTGTGATAAATCATATGTTTTCTTATGGATAGATGGCTTCCAGTTTTCTGTAGACAATTAAGTAGTCTGGACTCTGGTCTCAACATAGTCCATGGAGATACATAATATCCTTACCCACATGAGCACTCATTTGGTGATCTTACATTGACAAGGATGTCATCTCAAGGGTTGTCTCAACTATGGGCTGAAGGGAGCTAATGAGGCTAGTTTGAGACAGGGGATACATTTTAACGTGCATGTATTTCTTACAGAATAAGGAGTCTTGGGTCTTGGACGTTAATTGAGTCTTTGTGAACCATTTTTGCCAAGCCTGATTATCTAGCTGCTACATCCTCATTAATCAAAATGGCATTCAGGCATGAGTAAAAAAGTTAACATGCTTCTCCAATTTTAGATTCTATAGAAATCACCTGCAACACTTTTTTTCACTGTTTGTTTTCACAGTTAAAACTCTAGCCTCTTATTTGATCTCCATTACATATTCAATTAATTCAAAAATAATCAGTTGCCTGAGAATTCAGTAAATATTCAATTTTTGAGGTTTTCTAATAAGATATAACATTTCTAATATCTTTTAAAGAAACAGAATTTAAAAAAATTAATATATTATCTTAAATATCACTCTTTTCTTACATGTGAAAATATTCCTTAAATCTATCTTTTTGGGCCATTGAACTTAAAAATTATATATATATATATATATATATATATATATATATATATATATATATATATATACACACACATACACACACACAGCTGAGATTGTTCGTGTCAAAGCCCCATTTATCATGCAGTTAGCAGAGTCTTAATCACAGCCTGGCTAAATTATTTCATTTCTGCATCACTGAACAAATTAATTTCTGTTTAATGAGTTTATATCTTAACATTTTGACTCTTTCATTTTCTGTAATCTTTAGGAAAGGTAAAGGGAGGTGGGGTTCTCTTGTAAATTACCCTTAGCTGGTTCTGTGCCTAAGCCAGCAGTTGATGTGAAGTATTCAGTCAGGTTGTTGGATATTTCTAAATTTCCTCACCAGAAAATGATCTCTGAGAATGTATCTGCTATTCTATCCTTGGACTTTAGCTGTATGGACTGCTAACATGCTAAATTAATATTAATTTACAGATTTATCATAACAGTGAAAAAAAGAAGGCCTGCTTATTTTAGGAGATGTTATATGTGCTTAGTGAGGCAAGCTGTCTATCCACCACTGCCACAACCCAGAACCCCTCCCAGTACTTTCTAATTCCAGTAGATGTTACTGCATGTTTCCACACTGTGTTTGTGCATATCCCTTCTATTCAGTATTTGCCCTTTGATCGTTTAAATTTTCATCAATTTTTGTGAGCTTCCAGTTAAACACCAAAAGATGTTAGAGCTGAAATTTGGATATGTTCTAAATTTCTCTTATTTTCTTTTATAACTGAGAGTGTACCTTAGTGGTGGAACACTCACACACATACACATAAATATATGTATGTATCATGGTCTATTATTTTAGGGGTGCATTCATTTGTTTGTAAAATAGGCTACCCCTATTATACATACACAGAACCTGATACTAACAGAGATGCTCAAGCACAGCTCAAGCACAGCTAGTGAATAGCATAGCTCACATTTAATTTTGAATTCATCATTGTGGACAATCTACAGTGTTATAACTTGTTGCCATATCCTAGCTATCACACAGGCTTCTGAGACCCAGAAAAGCAATGGGTCAAGCATGTTGAATGGTTTGACGGCTGCAAGAGATCCTTATGACTGTCTACCCTTGTTTTTATTCTGAAAAATAAAAAAAAGCATTTAAAAACTAAGGGAAAGAGTAAAAGAAAAATTCTCCAGGTAAACAGCTAGAAATGGTAAATAGTTTGTCCTAAATCATAATGTTAGCTGAAGAACAGTACAACTGTGCAAGACATAATCAACCATGTGGAAAATCTTGAGTTATGAAATACAATAATACCTAACAATATATCTAAGAAGATTCCAAGTTAGCTAAAAATGGCAGTATCTTATGTCTGTATTGTTCCAATATAGAATGATTTCTATTTAATAAGCAGGACAGAGACTACCAAAACTAGCAACATGTCAGAATTGTCTAGGGAGTTGTTAAAATTGTGGACCTAGGGCAACAATGTCATATATCATAACGATATTTCAAATCATGTAAATGATTCTTATATCATTGATATAGGGAGTCCCCAAGGCAGATGTGAGTCTGAGAACCCCTGGCAGGCACAGGATAATTTTGTACTAATAGCATGGCTTCTTCCTTATTCCTTCTTTTTGATTCTTTGTTGGAGTGGTTCCACTTGCATGGAACAGGGATCAGTTGTCAGTTATGAGTAAATTCTCTTACAAACTCTAGATCACATTGCTTGGGAACAATGCTTTTGTGTAATGTTTTAAAAATTATTGGTAGGGAATTTCATTTTAAAGTAAAATACATTCAAAGTATGTTAAATGAATGAACATTAGTTAGTCATGTGTTAAAAGTATAAAATTTCTAAATAGTACAGAAAAATCTGAAATGTTTTAGAACAGGGTTCAGTATATGGTTGATTTTCTACAGGAAATCAAGTTCTCAAAAAAGTGTGTTACAAAGGACCTAAGAAGAAGAATATAAAGGAGAAAGATTAGTTAATTGAGCACTTGCTACATTGTGAGCTTCAGTAAAGAAGCAAGATTATGTTCCTTTCATTATTAGACTAACCAGTTTCATGCTTTAAATATTTATATATTTTTGTAGAGAAATAAAAAGAAATTCTATGTAGAGTATTAACTTTCAAAAATATTTCTAGATAGTCAAGGAAATTTGAAATTCAAATTTATGCACATATCAATTTAGGCCTTATATTAAAGAGCAGTGGTGCTGAGGGAATCCTTACAGACATAGTCATCCATAGAGGTTAAGTTACTTTCTCAATGCTACAATTTGTTGCAATGATAGCCTAGGGTAGAATTACTTATATTTCTAGTTTAATAGTGTGTCTCCCATTTAGACTCTATTAACTGTTTATGAATATGGATGGTTGAATATGAATTACAAAGAGAGATCACACTTTGGATAGTAGCAGAGTTTACTCATTTTTAAAATACCATAAAATCTCTGGAGGAGAGATGGCCACAATCAGAAATCACCTGACTGACTGATGTTGGCAATATTTTCAAAATGCAACAAGTGCAAGTAGCAAAGGATGAAGAGTATAACTGTTTTCTCGCCTCACAGTTCGATAATATATATTTGCTTATTGTGGTGCTTCATTTTGTATCCTCTTTACATAATAATTTCTTTTCTACTAGAAACAGCTGAAGAGTAGAATATCAACAATTTCCAAATCTAGCTTAATTTTTCTTAACATTCTATTTCTTTTGGGTTCTTTTTTAAAAATTTTATATACTTGTATGAGTATGTATGTATGTGTGCTCTGCATGTATACCTGCATGTCAGAAGAGGTCATCAGATCCTATTATAGATGCTTTGAGACACCCAGAAGGTTGCTGGGAATTGAACCTCTGAGCCATCTTTCCAGGCTCTCTTTTGGGTTCTTAAAGCATGATAAGAACTTATACTGTCTGTTTTCTCTATCCAGGGAGCAAGGGGAACAGTAAAGTTAAAATAAAAATTATCTCCATTTAGCCGGAAGAAGCTGGTATTTTGACATTAAAAGTATTTTTCATGCCCACTAATTTTATTAATGTAATTATTTATTAGGCATGTGTTAATAACCCCTCCTTGATCAGGAACTACTTATCCTTTAGCTTCTAAAGTCTATTGTATTCAGTAGCTTGATTGCAAATTTTAACATCCCCTTCCCTTGATATTAGAGTTTAGGAGGCGGCAGACATGATCAAACACAAAGTAAACATGGGGAACTAAACTTTATGAAACATTAATTCACATCAAACACTTTCTGGGTGAGTAACAGCCATGGAATCTAGTCTGAAAATAGACAAGTGAAAAAAATCTCAGTAATTTATTTTCTGCTTTTTTTTGTTCCTCTCTTATTTAATCTCTCATTAGAAGAAAGAATTTAAAGGCTCAGCAAATAATTCCTTAAGTAATCTATTATTTTATACCTCAAGGTTTTTGGTCTAAGCTCCACATATTCCAGGGCTATGCTTTTCACAGTAAGTATGAACCTTGTAAGCTGTTGCTACTTTGCTACTAAGATTTTTTTTTATAGTTTCTACTTTATATCAAGTCATAGCTGTCCTACAAGATATGGCTGTCATGTTTTCCTTCTTTAAATATGGATATGGATAATTCAGTACATGTTCTCATCAGTAAGGCTTAAAACAATTATTTACATATTCTTACTAATAAGGTCTGCAATAATTAATGATTAAATATTCAGAACACTGGTTGTAATGACTTTCTGCACTTGGAATGTAAATTTGTTCATCGTCTTTTTCGAGCCATTGTTTATTACCAGGCATATTATCTATCTTTATTATAACCAACAGCAAGCCAAATTGGTTGACTCAATCTATCTTTCATGTAGATATCCTTAAAAAAACTGTAAGTCACAGGATTTATTAAAAAAGTGGTCACTGGCATATCTTTTCAATGGTTATCTCTCACTTACACATAGAAAAGCTCATTCTTTCTGCTAAAGTTCAACTGGAGAAACATTAAATCAGAAAGAATGTCAACACTTAAGGTTTTTTTTTTACTATATATTTAAAAGTTGAAGTCCCAGAATATATCATCCTATGTGACAATGTTATATTCATATTATAGGAATTGGGACATATTTGAACAATAAGGTGTAGATGAGGTGGAGCCAAACATGAGATTAATAACCATAGGACCCTTAAATTCTAATCTCTATTATCACCATGTTCACATCTCTGTCTTTCATCATATGTCAGGAGTAAACAATGTCTTTATATCTAATTAATTCATAGATCAGAAGAGCTTAACTTACGAATATTGCTGTCATTTCTTCTGGTTAAATAGCTGGCCCATTCACTGTTCACTTGAAGTTCATACACTCATTTCCATGGCTTGGTATTAGGCTTTCAATGTACAGATGCACTAGTGGAATACTTGTTGCCTTGCCTTGGCTTATATTACTGGCATTTAGTTGTAGTTTCAGTTCAAGAATGAGCTCAGATTCATTGTCAACAGAAGAGACAACTGCCTTCAAGGCTCTTAGCATTCAGTTTAGCAATGGTGGGTGGAAACAATACTGAATGCTTTCCAGCTTTCAGAGAAAACACTTTCTAAGCTTCTCTTTGCATATTTAGGTACCTACATTTTATGGATCAAAAACATAATGAATAAATGTACATATATGAAATTGACTTTTAAACAAATAAATATATGATAGAGCCTTTAGGCACTATCCATGTATACAGACCCTTTCTTTATATATGAAACAATGTGTGGACAGAAGAAATAAAATCTATGGTGGGTCAAATGAGTAGAAAAACTTGCAATTCCAACACATGTTGAGTAGCTAAACAACTGGATAAAATTACTAGTAGTTTTTTTTTCCTTTTCATTAAATGAACAATGACTCATACAATCTCCATTGAGAGTTGTACAAGATAGAACTTATAGAAAGCTCAGTGTCACAGTCCCTTTATGGCAATGAAAACATGATTTAATTTTATTTTATTTCTGTGTTGGTTTGGGGCTGACAACATTACCTGTGTAATTATGTCTAAAAAAAAAATGAACGCAGGATCAATGTCTCTATTTAATTCTGAAGTCTTTCTTTGCTCAAATACTTCCCTTGCCAGAGAAGCTCATTCATTCACAGGACACACAGTTCTTGCTTACTGAACTGAAATTTATCTTCCCCAATAATCTATGTAGAGAGTGAGTGTAAATTCTGTTGATTGTAACAGGTAATAAGAAAATTAAAATGAGCCACAAAAGATCCAATTGGATGTCATCAGAACACTACATTTTCTGTAGATTTTGACCAGAGTAGAACACAAGCATCAGGAATCCTTTAGAGAATAATTTTCTGTAAGAGTCTCAGTATCTGTTTTTTTTTTCCCTCTAATCCACTGCATCTGCATATGTCCATCTACCTCCACTAAACTTACAGAAGAGAATTTCTGCAGGCAGCTGAAAGTTCATGAATAACATGCCCCAAAATTCAGTGCAATACTAAGTTTATATTGGTTTTGCAAAGCCCTGAATATCATAACAACATATGCTATGTAGGAATAATTTTTAAAATGGAATAAAAAAGATCATTTTCAATTAATAGTCATAGGCTAGATCTGTTCCTTTATTGAAACAAACAAAAATAACCCATGACTTTTCAATGCTGTTAATTAATTTATTTAACAAATACATATTGAAATCATACTCTGTGTCAGTACTGTCTGTCCCTTGAAAGTTCATACTTTATTATATTTAATGATATATTAGACCCATTGGTAATAATTTTGTTTAGTTTTTTTTAAAATAAGGATAGACCTTTCAAGTTTTATATGTATTCATTACCAAATATGGAAAAATAAAACTTTTAAATATGCTTGGGAAAATATTCAAATGGAGAAGTAATTAAAATTGTGTAAATGTTACCATTTATATAATCTATTTTTATTTGCAGATATTATTTTCCTTGTTATAGGAGGAAATTGTTTATTTTTACAACAATGACTATGCTCAGGACTTGAAAGGGGGCAATCAAAGCTTCTCTTAGCTGTTATTAGGCATTAAAAATATCACAAAAATTGTATGCCCCAAAATTCTTGCATACCTTAACTTAAAATGTTGAGAGTCTGCATTTGCAAAACAACTTAATGAAAATGAGTGTGAAGTCTAATAACATTTCTGCTTCATATCTTTCTTATTTACTACATGAGTAAGTCGGCCTTCACAAATATGGTAAACAGGTAAAAACTACATCAGTTAAGTCAATGAGGTTAAGAATGAAGTGATACTCTGATCCTTCTTTGTTAACATTGTTCAAGCTAGAATCTAGACATTATAATACTTGGTAAAAATCTTTCATATTTTAGGATATACATTTCCATTTCCCAAACAGTTTAAAGATCTTATTGATGCAGAAACAATTGAATCATAAATTTACTTTACAGGCACCTATAAAATGTGAAAAAGAATGTTTACAAATGAGAATGAAGAATAAATTATTTTCAGTGTTCATTATCACATATATACAGGATAATTTAAAACCAAATGGAGTGATTGCTAATTTCGAGCTCTTAAAAATTCCCATCAAAATATACATGTTGTTCAAGAGAGGGTGATAAAAATAAACTGTGACACAAAGCAAATTGTTTCTCTTCTTATCCTCACAACTTGAATGATGTTACATTATTATAATTCATTAAATGTGAAAATGATGGAAACTTTAATTCCAAAACCATTTCTCTAAATTACCAACAGACTTATACTCTTGATGCCTTTTTACATGATCACAAGCCAGGCATGCATGTGACTCCCAAAATCGTGGGAGGTTTACTGTGAAATCCTTCCTCCAGTTAAAGTAACTAAGGTACAACTTATTGTTTTTGTCAACTTCCTTCAGATACTTTGCCAACTCACTGGGAGAGTTATAATCTTCCACATGAATGAATGAATCAGCTGGAATATAATTCTCATAGTTTTCCCTAGACGGTCCCAGGACAACAGGTACTGAGCCAGCTAAAAATGCATTATAGAGCTTTTCTGTGATGTAATCTTTGTGAATTGAGTTTTCAAAAGAAAGATAAAATTTGCAAGTAGATATGGTGGGAATCAGGTTTTTATCGTTCACGTATTCTCCAAATGCTTGCCCATAGGTGTGGATTTCAATACTCTTGCTGAGCTCGTTATAATACTTGACCCTGGCATGCTCAGGGTTCCAGTTACTCACAACCCAGCACACCAACTTCTCCTTGCTTGGCACTTCGAACACAAAGGGGCTTGTGCTCACCGTCAAGAAGCCGTAAGGCACTTGAATATCTGAATCACGGCGATAAGTTAGTGTCAGGTTGAACAAGTGTTCGATGCCACTCTTTTGAGGAGTATGAGTGGGAGACTCTAAGTTCATCCAAATCCATTTCTGAAAGGGTGGCCTAGCCTGCTGAGGTAAATTAGTCAGATCCCAGCTGATGTCTCTGTGGTGTATCAGGACCGCGTGGGATTTGTTGTACAGTGAGCGGTCTGTTGTAAGATGGCACCCTTGGATGTTGAACATCGCTTGGCAGGATGTAAGGTCAAAGGTCTGCCCAAATGGCCACACCCACACCAGAATAGTGGTTTCATTAAAATAATCAGTTTTTGAGGAGAAGAAATTTTTCATTTTCAGCACAGAACTGGCAGACTCCATTGGACTGAAGACCCAGCTGTTGGTGGGTTTGATGTAAATGAGCAGACACGCCATGAAGCAGGCCAGGATAATGCAGACGATTAGAAATGGACGGAGAATGCCTTTGGATGTTGAGGTCATACTTTTTTTCTGCGGAAAAGAGAAAGACAAGGGAAGGTAAAGGTAGGAAAAAAAATGAAATTATAAATACAATTTAAGAGAAATATTAAGACTGTTGTAATCATGAAATCAACAGTAATTTCTTTCAGTATTAACAACCACTGTGAGAAATAGGTTTCATTTAGGCAGAAAACTGCTTTTAAATGGAAGTTTCCCAGAAACTCCAGCCTAGAAAGCATAAATCAGAATTCATTCTCAGCACACATCTTGAAGTCAGGTTAACCACTGCGTCAGTGATCTCTATACCTGTTCTGGTTTTGTTCATAAAAACATAACCTGACAAAACTGATCACCATTATTAAAACCACGACTGAGCTTATCAGTGAGTGTTACTCAATAAGATTTGCAAACATTTCCCAGTTGACATATTTGCTTGTTCACAACTATGCTTTAAAAACTTTCTTTTTAAGGAAGAGAAATGATGTGAAGTTGGGAGGGTAAGGAGGGAGATCTAGAAGGGTTTGGAGGATGGAAAAGAATATGTCACAGTATTGTGTATGAAATTCTCAAAGAACAAATAAAAATAAAAATGATAGTAACATACTTTTACAATCAGAGCAAAGTTAAGAGATTATTAAAGTTTTTGAAAAGTTCATATTTCTTTCTGGGCAAAAGTTTATTTTTACTCTTTATATAGAAATGCATCAAGATAGTCATGTGATGAAATGTGTCCTTGATACCTTCTTTTGGTAAATAAGCACATTAATAAATCTACTGTTGTTTTTCTCTTTGTATTTATACATTTCACATTTATCTGACAATTTTGTGTCAATACCCTTGTAGTGAACTTAGTAGTTAGCAGTATTTAATAATCAAGCACACTGTTGTCATTAGGACAAACTCTCATTTGTCAGGTATTAGGACTTCAAGCTTATCCTTTGCATATTATCATAAATAAGATTCTTAAAATAAAGATATAGATCATGGAGAAAAACATTAATTCATTGAATTTAGCTTGTGGTGAAATTGGTGAGCCTTTTGGCTTTGTGTGTGTATGTACTGAAAGTTTTTCTTTTACATTTAAATCTCTTTATGAATATGAACAAATTTTTTTTTTGTTTTTTTGAGATAGGATTTCTCTGTGTAGTTTTGGTTCCTGCCCTGAATCTTGCTCTGTAGACGAGGCTGGCCTTAAACTCATAGAGATCCACATGGCTCTGCCTCCCAAGTGCTGGGATTAAAGGCGTGCCCCAGCACTACCTGGCTCACAAGATTATTTCTTAATAGCATTTTTATAAGACCTCTGAAATTCATAGTTTTTTCTTAAATGATATAACAACAATTTCAGTGTAATACGAATCTTAAAAGGTCTTATTAATAAAAAAAATCTTGGGAGCCAGGTATTTGGGTGAACGCTGAGTGATCAGAGAAAACAGAACAAGCCACACCCAACCTCACCTTGCCAACTTCTCAGCTGATGTTTTCTCAGACTGAAATCCTCATCCGAATGGATCTCAGCTGAATTGCTGCTAAAAGCTTAAAAAGGCTCTAGTTCCTGGGCCTTATGCCTTGTATACCTTTCTGCTTCCTGCCATCACTTCCTGGGATTAAAGGTGTGTGTCACCATGCCTGGCTGTTTCCAGTGTTACTTTGAACTCAGAGATCCAGACGGATCTTTGCCTCCCGAATGCTAGGATTAAAGGTGTGTGCTATGTTTAATATATGTGGCTGTTCTGTTCTCTGACCCCCAGATAAGTTTATTGGGGTACACTATATATCAACCACATTTTAGAAGTATGACATATCTTAAAATCTTAATCAAGTATCGGGTATTATATATAGAATACTCTTACCTAAATTCAGGTGAACATTTGAAAAATCACATACACATAAACATTTTATTCACAACTTTTTAAAGAATATGATGTGTGAGTTATTAAGCTTGATCATGTGAGTATAAAAATTGTGGATATTGAATTCTAGAGCATTCCCTGTACAGAATTGCTGGAAAAATTACAATTTTCTCTCAAAGCTAGATTTAGTATCAAAGAAATTCACAAAATTTATATATTAAAATAATTATATATAATATATATTATATATATTATATCTAAGACCTATTAGTTCAACCTTAGTTTAGAGAGAAAATTGGGGAGAAATTATAAAGGAAATCTCAATATTTATAATAAAGGGATATTGCAGGCACTATGTTCCAAAGTTTATGCTATGTGAAAAAAAATACTTAGAAGAGATTTACAGGTTTGACAGTTCCCAGGGAACTGATTATTTGACAACACAAGACGCCTGACAGAACCATGGAACAAAGCTAAAGAAAAAAAAAACAGTAACACCAAAAAAGAAAATGAAGAAAATAAATATAGGAAAGACAAAACTCATTGATGTTAAGAGCTTAAATTTCAGGTGATTAGTAATATTACAATATCTGAAATATCAATATAAAGGTTATACAAGACAGAAAATAAGAAATCTAGGTTAAATATCAACAGGATAAATAATGAATGGCTTAAATGTAGATTAAAATTAGAAATGTCTATTCAGTTATTATATACTAATACATTTAAAGGACTTATAAAATAAATGATTGTGGTTTGAGCCAAGTGAGAAGAACAAATATTGGCATAAGAAAAAATTCCATTGAAGATGGAATTTATTAAAGAATAGAATTCATGAATAACAACTGAGAGCAAGCAATAGACCTAGACAGCACAAAAAGACTGAGACCAGTAATTCATTAATTAGGGATTGCTATCATATTTTTAAAAAAGGAATCATTTTAGAAAACATAAAATTAAGGATAAGTGATTCAATCATTACATGAATCCAATTACAATCTTACTAACAAAATATGTCAGAAAAGATATTTTCAAAGGTCAATTTCAGTTAAAAATCCAGACAAAATTTAGCAAAAAGAGATATGTAAATGTAAGAGAATGCCATTGCAGAATAAGTTTATGGAAGTCCATATACATGGGATCCTGGAGTCATGGAGTCAACATACATTTAACTGTTTGAAGAACTCCTCATGAGCGTCATGCTAAACTGCACTAACATGCTCTCCTGCACTAACGTGCTCTCTTGCACTAACATGCTATCCTGTACTAACATGCTCTCCTGTGATATAATCTAATCAGAGCTGCTCATTCTATGCTATCAGGTTACAGTGACAACAGCCTCCATTTAATAATTCAGCAGGGACTATTCAGCAGGGACTGCTATGTGTTTACATGAGCCACTCCTCATAGAACTACTGTGGAGAAGGCCATTGTCTCTTCTTCACAGATGAGCAAGTGGGGCAGAGATACATATTAGAAATAACTAGCTTAACCACTGAGTTGCTTTCTATAATCCACACCAAGCAAAATAATACATCAATAATCCATTCATATTGTACCTTGGGTTTCATTATCTGCCCTTTTTGACTTAGGGCTATTTGTTAACAGGTGAAATGTGGATCAATTTCTCTTATCAAGCAATATCTCATACTTATATTGTGCCTATTACTGTAGAGACCGATCTAAGAACTTACACTAACTCACATACATCAGCACATCTATCATCTCATATTACCATTTTACTAAGAACTAAACTGAGGCACAAAATGACTAATAAGCAGCTTGCCCATGGTTAGTCAGCCAAGAAGGTGCAGAACACACTTTCTAGTGCAGGCTACTGGCTACAGGTTATAAACACCTGAAGACCGTATTTGATGATCTACAGTTTTGCTCACTGAAGGCGGAATTTGCAATCATTGTAGTGATACCCTTGATAGGCTTTGCTTTCTTCACTGACAAACCATTACCATCTAGGCAGAGTAAGTGCTTAATAAGTGCTCCTCATGTTATGTGAATGAACGAGTGAACTACAGAGCTTCACACTAGTGTAAGATGCCATGTCAGGAACTGCGAACACAAACTATGAACTGAGTGTGAATTTGTGTTTACCTGTTTTCTCTATGAATGTAGTATATGCTTGTGTAGACAGCGAAAACCACTGAAGCTGACAGAAGTATCCGAACAAAATTTTGTTTTGGATTTTCTCCTGTTTCAAAGTTAGTATGCATGCAGTTGATGTTAAATGAAAATGATTTGATCACTAGGCAGAAAACAACACTGAGTTTGCTCTGGGTTCTTCAATTTCCCTATTTGGCTTTTTGCATCACTTGTTCATCTCTTTACACCCTCTACCTCTAATTTTCACTGATGTCAGGGTCAATTACTAAACAATGGGGCAGTCATTCAATAGCTCCTACCATGTACAGAGACTGTCAGAAAAGTTTGCTTCCTAGAGCCAAGTTGACATTCCTTTGACAGGAGCAGTTTTACTTCTCATAACTGAAATTCAGGTGAAAACCCAACACATTTTGATTTATAAGTCAAGCCAACCTATTTTTTTTAAAGCCTCTAAGCAGAGTGGCCATATAGCTCTCTCCAACAACAGCAAGAGTGTGTAGAATAAGAGAAAATGTAGCCATAAATCAGATAATTGAAATTTTTCAGTTATTCTCAATGGCCTTAGAAAGTGTGAGAGATGACAAAGACTTAAGCTTTAAAGAAGAGAACAGAATCTTTGGTAAAAATCATGCTTGCTAAGATTTGGTATAGGAAAACATTGTCCATTGAGAAACTGATTCTATTTTCCAATACTACTCTAATGAAAGATTTTTTTAAAAAAATGGAAAGAAATTTAAAATACAAAGCATTGTGATTTACAAATGTTAGATACATGTGCAGATATTGGGGGCAGAAATGAGAAGGTAAAGAAGATGGGAAGCTTCTTCAGACCTTGGTGATTCTACAGAAAGCATCTGTGTGTGAGTTGTTTGAGATTTTTTCAGCTAATATTCACCCTTATTCTAAAATTGAAAGGGCATGGATTAAATGTAGCACAGAATTCAACAACTGCCAAAAACTCTATGATAGAATCAACTTTTTGGGTGGGGCTTCCCACTTGGGCATTATCCCCAGGTGATGGCTACCACATTTTGTTGTCTTGCCCACATTATACTTAGT